TGGGTGAGAGTGTGCCTCAAATACCTTGAGCAATTCTTTAGTCGCCTCCTTATATTGTTTCATCCTCCCTTCCTTGGCCTCATACTCCTCGAAGATTTGGCCCACGACAAGCTTGGAGTCACACTTGACGTGGATCATTCTGGTCTTCATATTTGCTGCCAGCCGAAGGCCACAGAGGAGGGCCTCATATTCTGCTTCGTTGTTGGAGACTTTGAAGGAGAAGCGGATGGCATAGTAGGCCCGGAAGCCTTCGGGGGTAATGAGAACTACTCCTCCTCCGCATGCTTTGGTGGCTGAGGAGCCATCGGTATAAAGGGTCCACCACTCGTCCAAAGGTGCCGAGGGCTCCTCATCCACCGCTGATCTGGTCATGCACTCCGTCACGAAGTCTGCAAGGGCTTGGCCCTTTATGGCAGGCCTCAGACGGATGTCGATGTTGTATTGGCTGAGGAAGATAGCCCATTTTACCATTCGGGAGGAGCTGATGGGACTCCTCATCAAGGCGCCGAGGGGTTGATGCGTAAGGACCTGGACCGGATGGGCCTGAAAGTAATGGCCAAGCTTCTTCACAGTCCAAACGATAGCTAGCACCGTTTTCTCCACAGGGGAATACCGGAGTTCCGCTTCCCTGAGGGTCTTGCTAACATAGAAGATGGCATGTTGGACGCCATCTTCTTCCCGGATGAGTACTGAGCTGATGGCTGTCGGGCTAACACCAAGGTAAAGGTATAGGGTCTCCCCTACCTTGGGTTTGGAGAGCACAGAGGGTGAAGATAAATATTGTTTTAGTTCGTTGAAGGCCTCATGGCATTCTGAAGTTCATTGGAAGCCGGCGGTCTTCCTCATGATCTGGAAGAAGGGTAAAGACTTCTCCGCCGATTTGGATAGGAAGCGGTTGAGGGCTGCCAGGCAGCCCGTCAACCGTTGGACCTCCTTCACGTTACGTGGGGGCTCCATGTTGATGATGGCCTGGATTTTCTCGGGGTTGGCCTCGATACCCCTTCGGCTCACCATGTAGCCTAAGAATTTGCCTCCTTGTACGCCGAAGGTGCATTTCTTCGGGTTTAGCCGAAGGTTGAACTTTTGCATGATGGCAAAGATCTCCCGGAGGTTGTCAGCATGGCTTGATGACTGTTTGCTTTTGACAATCATGTCATCAACATAGGCCTCCATGGTGCGCCCTAGGACGGCCTGAAAGACTCTGGCCACCATCCGAATGTAAGTGGCGCCTGAGTTCTTTAGGCCGAAGGCCATCACGAGGTAGCAGAATATGCCCTCGGGAGTCATGAAGGCTGTTTTTTCCGCGTCTTCCTCGTGCATGAAAATCTGGTGATACCTTCGTGCATGAAAGTCAGGAAGGACATGATCTCGCACCCTGCGGTCTCATCCACCAGTTGATCAATATTTAGCAATGGGAAGGGGTCCATGGGGCACGCTCTGTTTAAATCAGTGTAGTCTATGCACATGCGGAAGGTGGGCGGCTTTTGTGCAAGGACTACGTTAGCCAGCCATGAGGGGTATTTTACCTCCTTGAAGGTACTTACAACGGCCGTGAAACTAACGGGAAATTCCCTAACGGCTAGGAGTCTTTCGACAGAACCTTGTACTATACACGCATTTAATGTTCATTTAATGCGGTACGTACGAAGAGATATTTAAAGCTGATGATTGACCAAGCGGGGTTCTTTTCGCCCCCAAAATAGCAAGTCGAAGGACCAACCAGTCAAATCAACAGTACAAGCATTTAATGAAGCTGTCTTCTACACTCCAACAGGAAGACCGCTCCCAGTATAAAAGATACACTTCGAAGAACTACAAAAAGAGATTTTTTGAGAACTTTGCTGAAAAAAGCTTGCTCAACCCATCTACTGCGAACAAAATATTCAAAAAGCCTTCTTGAGATTCAAACTTCATTCTTAACAAGAAAAGGCTACAGTTGGAAGATATACTTTCACATCTTTCATTCAACTGAAAACAAACAAAGTTCCTCAGTTCTTCAACACTTCGAAAGCCTCATCTACACATCCTTTGTGAAGAAGCAACGTTGGAGAAAACTGATTTTGAATCAAACACTTCTTGAAAAAGAAGGGACGTCTCAAACTAGCTGGAGTAAGTGAAGTGGGGATACTTCAAGAGACTCAGTGAAACGAGACCAGCCATCAGGAAGCAGGACTGCATCCCGGGTGGCAACTAGACTTGAAGAAGACGAGGAGTGCTTCTTAAGCTCTAGGGACTAAGGCGTTGTAAACTGTTGTTTTTGCAAGCTTAGTGGAACAGTGGACTAGAGGAACACATTGTTCCTTGAACCACTATAAAAACCCCCGGTGTCATTTACTTTAAGCTTTTAATTTCCGCACTTAAGGTTCTACTGTTTAACTCTTAAGGTTGGACTCTGTGTCCAGCAGATCTTCTTTCAGAGTTATCAGAAAGGCACTTTGCCTTAGTATTTTTCTTGAGGCTACCCGAACAGAAACTTATCCGCTGCCTGGTCTAGTTCTGCCATCAGAACTTGACCATCTCTGTCACCAGATTCAGACCCTCTCTGATAAGTCAATCTGACTTAGAGAAAAAGTTGAAAAACCGGAACAATCTATGATGAGGCTCCTTGAAAAGTTCTCGGGGCGAAGGATTGTTTGAAGGAGGGCCAGGAGGGTCCCATCATCGGCGCCATCAACTTTATCAGCCTCCGTTCTCCAACGTTCCAAGAAGTCCCGAAGGGTCTCCTCTTTCTTTTGTCTCACCGTCAGCAAGTGGGAGAAATGTTTTCTTGACCGGCGCCTTCCTGCAAATTGCGTCAAGAAGCGTTGGGCGAGTTCTTGCCATGAATCGATGAAGCCTTCGGGCAGTCGGTTGAACCATTCGTAAGCCGGTCCCTCCAAGGTGGAGAGGAACCAACGGCACAAATATTCGTCCGATGCCCCCACCATCATCATACTATTTTGGTAGCGGCTGTAATGTTCCTGAGGGTCCGTCTTTCCTTCATAGGGCCTGATGGGCTGCCCCCGGTATTTTTACGGAATTCGGGCCGCCAATACCCTTGGGGTAAATGCCGTCCTAGTCCGGAGTTGGATGACGGGTTCCCCGGAGCCTTCGGCTATTTTCTTCTGCATTTCCTCCATTTTTGCCAGCATGGCCTCATATTTTGGATCTGCGTGAGGGGTGGCGACGGTGGTATGTGTTCGATGAGCCTCCATCTCATTAAGCCGACGCTGGAGGGCCGCGATGATTTCGTCCCTGGGGTCCTTCGGGAGGGCCTCCGCCCCCTGCGAACGAACACGGGCTGAGTGGACCTGATTGATTTGGTGCCTTGCGTCATCGGCATGAAGTGGTGCCTTGCCTTTGTCCTGATGGGGACGCCTCTCGTCTGCCCTTGAGACGGATCCCCCGCTCTCTTGGGGTCTTTGGGACGCCTTTCCACTGAGGCGTTCTTGGACCCCTCGGTGGTCTTGCGCTCCTCTGATCCTTTCGAGGGCTGAGGTCCGAGGCCTTTCTTTGTTCGCGCTGTGTTGGTCCCGGGATTGGACCTCCTGGGAAGCGGAGTCTTGAGCCACGACCCCTTCGTCGTTCCCCACCTGAAGGGTAGGGTTCACGAAGGGGGTGGTCATGGGAGAAGAACAGCGTTCTCCCCGACTTGCGGTTGAAGGGGTACTAGAGTGCCGAAGGCACCTGGGTTTTGAGTGAGTGTCTGGATGAAGGCAGAGAATGCCGATTGTACGTCGATAGTGAAAACCGGAGGGCTCACTTGATTTTCGCGACGGTCCCTCTTTCGGGTTTCGATGCCGAGGCGGGCATCGGGAGCGTTTTGTTGGAGCTGAAGGCGCAGGTCAACAACAGCCTGTTCCAACTCAGTGATGACCCCGCCCTCGGGAGCCTTGTTAGAGGCTCCGGGGGCGTTGACTTCACCAGGGGCCAGGTTGTTGTCCTCAAGGTTCTTGGACTGAGCACAAGTGGTTCTTCCCATTTTTGTAGGTGTTTTTAGCTGAAGGGGAGGTTTTCTTACTTGATTGTTCGACCTCTCAACGAGAGCACCAAATGATGGATAAGTGTACCCAGGGGGTATCTATCCGAGGGGTTACTGCGGGGAATAACTAAAGAGAAGTCAGAGCAAAAGTAAGAGAGAGAATATATATTGCTGAGAATGTGTTGAGCGTATTGAGGATGAATTACAAATGGGGAAAATGGGTGCTATTTATAGTAGTAATAAATGCCAGATAGGGACACATGTCATCATTCTGGTGGTCGAGGGGTCACCTCAACGGGGTGGCACTGGCACTCGCATGTGGTCGCATTAAATGCGGTGGTTGGATGTGACGTTTGTACTCGGTACGTTGATCCGGCGCATGTGGGTGGGAGATTCTGTCGAGGAGATGCCTTCGGTCGTAGATGATTAGGCGAAGGCTCTTCATCCCGGTGGCCTCTAGGTGTCGAGGACTACTGTTTTTTGCGCTTTCTCCCAGACACTTTGAGGGCTTTAAAGAAGTTTTACTGTAAGCTTATGAGCCTTCGGCCAGGGGGCCGAAGGCATCCCAGTGTTCGTCGTGGGCTGCTTGGCACTTGGGGCGCTGTGATTTGGGCCTGTTGTGCTTCCTTGGCCTATTGGGCCTCTGCTACAGTAGTGGGAGTCTATGGGCCGGGGGTTCCTGGGCCATATACTCCATCAAAATGAGCACACACAAATGCATTTTTGATTTTTTATACTCATTTTGTAAGTTATGTGTGCTCATTTAGTATTGCTTTATACTCATTTTAAAAGGTTGCACATTTCAAACATATCATACTACATTAGATTAATTAAAATTGATTATAGACATAACTTAAGACTTTTTAATAAACAAAAAGTGATATTTTACGTATAAGGTATAAGCAGAGATCATTGATGTTCACGGTTAGGCTTCTCATACTAAAAAAAACAGGCTCGATCTCATAAAAAATGCATAAAATGTTCATTTAAGAGAATAGGTGATTTTCATAAAAGTTAAAAGTTTACCCCGCAGCTGAAGGTTGCAAAGAACCCTCTAGTCTCCACTTCTCTACGCCTGTTAGAGTTCGCTAGACCTAAAAGGCTCAAACGCCTCTTCGACGCAGAGGCCAGAGCCAGAGTGCGAGACCGCCAAGGAAGAGACGGGCGCCGACGCAGAGGCCACACCGCCTGAGAGGAAGAGTCAGCCGTCGACGCAGAGGACATAGGCGTCGATCGTCTTCCGTCAACGAAGAGGCGACCGTCAACCGTCTCTTTTTAACTTCTTCTACCGTCGCCTTTCACCTTCGCCTTTGAGCTTCCCATATCCTGATTCCAGGTTTTTAAAATTATTAATCTAAGCACTTGTACTTCTGTTTTATTTTATCTCAATACATTCAATTAGATTAGTTGGTACACACTGGTTTGTTGTTTCACATATCCTGATTCCATATGAAATTGGTAGTTGCTGCACACTGGTTTGATAAAAACTCATTGATATAGCATTGTTAACAACATTATAACACTGGTTTGTCTATTGCACATTGGCACATAGGGCTTGAAGCCTTCAAGTGAGCCTTTAAGTGAACTTAAAGATGTTTGTGTTTTGGTTTGATTAGTGTTTGTATTGTTTGGTTGGTTAATGAAATGAACACAAACATGTTTTAGAGCTAAACAAATAATGCTTAAATAACAATTCAAGAAGCTCATTTGATAAAAGTTTGATAGTTTGGTCAAACAAACTTGATTGCATAAGGGAGTAATTCTTAGGGTTGAATGGCTGAAAACAAGCAGACCCCAGCTTTTAATTGAATCGGTGAAGATGTCTCAAGAGTTGAAGCCAAATCAGACTCCGTCCAGGCCATCTCTCCACAAAATGGATGCGGACGAAGAAGATGATACTGCCAAGTAACTTCAAGAATGCTCTGTCCATTACCTAGCTTTACAGGATTGCCTTGTTGAAAAGAACAAATGAAGTCTTACTGTGAGGACTGTGATTGGGTTTTGTACTGTCTTTATTCTCATGATAATATGGTTTATTCTAAAAAACCAAAAAAACTTGATTGTATAAAACTAACGGTGACTATACTGCCTCTTCATTAGCAGGTTCTTTTCTTTTTTATATTTTTTATTGATCGGGGATTTGTTTTCGTTTTAGGCAAACCCTCATTTATTTATCTTAGCAAAACTAAGTGCGCAATAATATATTTCACAACTCTAGTCATTGAATCATATCAGACTCCTATCAATCTAACATGTTGTCTGAAGTGCCCGCACAGAGATGCCAACTGTGCGGGCAAGCAACTGTTGAAACAACTCGATATAAGTTTTGACATCATGTGTTTGGGTGAGTTTGGCAAGGTTCCCTTCAGGATTGGCGCCACAGGGCGGTCCAAAGCGTTTAGTACACTTAGTATAGAACTCGGTCCAGGTGATGGGGGTCAGTAGCACTGGGATCAAGCTGATCAGCCCAGATCTGGGCTGTCCCAGTCATGTGAAACGTTGCGAGACCCACACGGGCTTGCGCTGGTGTACGCTGGTGAACAAAGAAACTGAAACTAAAATAGGAATACTAGAATAATTAGGCAGTTGCCTAAAATTGAAATAGGAATAATAGTATAATTAGGAAGTTGCCTAAAACTGAAATAGTTATAATAGTAATAACTAATTAATAGTTTTCTTTCAGCCACTTTATTTGTCGGTATAGTTGGGCCCACTGTCCGAGCAGGAATCTGCAACGTTCTGGGCTCGTTCTTGGCCCTGTCACCTGCTGTATTGTTTGCCCCAGAATGCATCCGTAACACTCGGCTCGTTTTTTTCGAACTGTAATTAGAGCTCGTTATCAGATTCAGAGTTGGTTAAGCTCGATTCGTTAAGCTCGAAAACGAACACGAGCTTGAACTGCTCGATAAATGTTCGGTTCGATAACAGCCCTAATGCTGATCATCCTTCTTGGAGATTCATCTTTGACATTCCCCATTAATCAATTAAAATTCATAATGACAACTATTTTTAAAAATAATAAGCATTTTGTTAAGTTTTTTTTTCTGACTGTAAGAACACCTAATTAATGGTTGGCAACTGCCGTTTCAATAGCTTCTTCTTTGACCTGGGTTGTAAATGGTTGGATATCTTCCTTTTCAACTTCTTCTTTGATTTGGGGTTGTAAATGGTTAATAATAAACAATTTGATCTGAGTTGGCGTACTTTTAACTAAATTTGATACACTGGATCTGATCTGGATCAAGATCCCCAAGACAACCATATTGAGATATATAATTCCTTTATTTACAACCTATACTTTCATTTGAAAACACAACAATTGTTCAAAACCGCATATAGATATATAACTGCTGCTCCCGAAGTTAAATAGCACGCAATTCCTTTTCCAGGATTTATACACATGTATTTCAAAGTATTGCATACCCAAGTAAATCATTTTAGATCTTTCAAGAAGATAATATGTGTGTACGCAATATCTGACAAATTATACACACCATGGCTGCTTCATATATCCATTCATAGACGCACGAACTTCTGGGATTCTGTGTATTTTTTCCTTATGAAACTTTATTCAAGATCTGTATCAAGACATTAGCTTTCTCATAATATACAACAAAAGCCAAAAATAATTAATCATAAATAATACACAATGTTTAAAATTAATTTTATTGAGATAGAAATAATCTGTAATTTATCAACAATACACACACATTGTTAAATCCATTGACAATATTTGCCTTTCTATATAAGTATATGCTACTTGGTCTTTGTGTGTTTTATTACACAAACATACACGTTGTCATGGCATTCTTGCTATTCTCAGGTGTAGAACTTAGAAGCCGAAAGTGAAAAGGGAAGAGGTAAATCGATCAATTTTTGCAATATATTGCTCGTATTTTTAGCAGTACTTCGGTGGTTCAATATTATTTACATTTTTAATAGGAATTTATTAAAATATTGTGTATCCATGTCCATAACAGGCTGGCACAATTGACAGGTCGTCATCTACCTTGTTGGAACTCACAACCTTCACTGTTTGGGATCACTTGGGTGAGATTTCCATGCCAAAACATCTCCACAATACTCCGTAGAAGATAAGGATGGGAATCGATGAGGAGAGGCAAGTTTCAGCCTTGCAAATAAATCTATATGTATCTACTGCCATTTGATCATTTGCGGTCACCCTAGTTCCGTATTACTACTCATTTTCATCTTCAATCCTTGGAATCTTGAGGTTGCATTTTATCTGTTTGCTGCAATGGCTTCGAGTTTCAGAAGAAAGCAGCACATGAAAGCGATATTAAAGCACAGTAGAACCCAATTTCTAAACGTCTTCCTTAAAACATCTCAAAATACCCAACAACAACAAAAATATCTCCTCCCCTGTGTCACACCCTTTTCAACCCAAGCATCCAAATTCCCTGAATATGAAATGCCTTCTGTCACATGGGGCGCAATCCAAGGTCGTAAAGAGAAGCTCGTGTCACGAGTTATAGTTTGTGACTATCTAAAAAGTATAGGTATAGTTCCAGATGAGTTAGAGGATCTGGAGTTACCCTCCACTGTGGAAGTAATGCGGGAGCGTGTAGAGTTCTTGCAGAAAATAGGCCTAACGATTGACGACATAAACGAGTATCCACTAATGCTGGGGTGTAGTGTGAGGAAAAACGTGATTCCCGTGTTAACCTATTTGGAAAAGATTGGGATTTCAAAGCCAAAACTTGGGGAGTTTGTGAAAAATTATCCTCAGTGTCTAAATGCTAGTGTTGTGGTTGAGCTTGTTCCAGTCATCAAGTTTCTGAGAGGCCTTGATGTGGAGAAGCAAGATATTGGGTATGTCTTGATGAAATACCCGGAGCTATTAGGGTTTAAGCTTGAGGGGACAATGAGTACGTCTGTGGCATACTTGGTTAGTATAGGGGTTAATCCAAGAGATATAGGACCAATGGTTACACAATATCCTTACCTTTTGGGGATGAGAGTTGGGACAATGATTAAGCCTCTTGTCGATTATTTGGTTTCGATCGGCCTCCCAAAGAAAATTTTAGCCAAGATGCTTGAAAAACGGGCATATTTACTTGGATATGATCTTGAAAAAACTGTGAAACCTAATGTGGACTGTTTGACCAGTTTTGGCATCAAGAAGGACTTTCTCCCTTCTGTCATAGCACAATACCCCCAGATCCTTGGTTTGCCTTTGAGGGCAAAGCTGTCTTCTCAACAGTACTTCTTCAACCTAAAGCTAAAGATTGATCCTGATGGGTTTGCTTGTGTGATTGAGAGGATGCCACAAATTGTCAGTCTTAACCAACATCAGATAATGAAACCTGTTGAGTTCCTTCTGGGGCGGGGGTTTTCATCTAATGATGTTGCAAAGATGGTTGTGAAATGCCCTCAGTTGGTTGCTCTGCAAGTTGGGCTCATGAAAAACAGTTTCTACTTTTTCAAAAGTGAAATGGGCAGGCCTTTTAAAGAACTTGTTGAGTTTCCAGACTACTTTACATATAGTCTGGAGTCGAGAATAAAACCAAGACACCAGAGGCTACAAAGCAAGGGAGTCAAATGCTCACTTGCTTGGTTTCTCAACTGCAGTGACCAAAGATTTGAAGAGAGATTATATGGTGATTTTATAGAAGCTGAAAGTAGTGGTCCATCTTTTGTGATGGGCGGGAAGTTAGAATTGCCAGGAACTGAGATTTTATCAGAAGAAGATGATGACAGTGATGATGAATTACTTTATAAGCGGACCGTCTCTCTGTGAGTTCAAAGTCCAACTTTCACTTCTCTTCACAATACAAAGATTAATAAATTCACACTATTGTCATTTTCCCTGTTTTCTTTCTTTGGGAAACAATGAATAAATACCATGTTTGAAAAGCTGAAGTTCCATATTAAGAAGTCAACCATGTTTATCCATATGATTTTCAAGTTTTAGGTTAATTGTTTGTTTCAGTTTAATTTGGCTTTGACGCTGAATTTAAGTGTAAGGCTTGATGTTGAAATTGGTGCAGAATCTAATACCAAGATCAGGAGCATTTTTACCATTTGGATTGGGCAGCAGATTGTGCCCTGGAAACGATCTTGCCAAACTCAAAATATCAATTTTTCTGCACTATTTCCTGCTCGGTCATGAGTGAGTGGCATTTGGTGTTCTCTGCACGGTGGTTTCTCTTGTCATTTTGGTGAGCATATTTGTTGTTTTTTTCAATTTGCAGGCTGGAGAGGGATAATCCTGACAATTGATGTATTTACCACATTGTAGGCCTAAAGACAGCTGTGTCGCTGTGTGGGAAAAGTGAGAAGATCAGCCTGACTCTGAGGCTTGATGATGGTTAAATGAAAAAGGATACCCACCTATAATGATGATTGTAATGAAACTACGAAAGTAGTATGCAAGGAAAGACGTGTTAATGCAGGGTAAATCATATATAATTTCTGAGTTACTAATTACTATAAAAACTTCAATATAATCAATAATAATAAATTAGTAATATGTGCATTTTTTACGGGAATAAAAACACATAATATTACCGTGATATACTAACTACAAAAAGTGACTATTTTTTCATTGCGAATTACTCCATTTATCCAATCTTTGCCTCCTCCCCCACACTTGCTGAGATGCTGAAAACTGCCGTCAGAAATGTCTCCAGGAAATTTTGATTAACTTTTACGGTTTTACCTTTGTTTTTTCCTTCAAAATTCATTGGAAAAAGTTAGAATTTTTTTGGTAGTCACAGTGACATTTGTAAATGACATAAAAGTAGTCGCAGTTTTTGGACATCGGCTTCAATTTAGTCATAATTCTTATGGCTAGGGATGGACTCGGGCCGGGTGGCCCGACCCGGAACCGGCCCAGGACCGGTACTGTTCTGGCCCGGCCCGACCCGGTGGCCCGGTCAGTGACCGGTCCGGGTAGGCCCGGCCCGTGGGTTTTCCGGTCCGGGCTCGGGTCACCCAAAACAAGGCCCGACCCGGTACGGGCCAAAAACTATTTTTTTTTCAATTTTTTTTACATTTTCGGGTTGGGCTGGGTATTTTCGGCCATTTGGGGTGGTTTGGGAAGAGGAAAACAAAAAAAAATATAATGGGCCCGGCTCGGACCCGGTGGTTACCCGGGCCGGTCCCGGGTCCACCATTTCTGACCCGCCAGCCCGCCCAGGCCTAGGCCCGACCCAGACCCGGCCCGGACCCGAGTCCATCCCTACTTATGGCTAACTCATACTCATAATTCTTATCTAAATATTTTTCATAATTGATCTACCAAATCACTATTATTTATTCATATTTGAATAATCTTGCTCATGTCGTTGCTTCACTCTTCTCTTGCGTGATCGGAGATGATCCTAGCAACTTTATTTTGTATGTTGAATAAAGATATTGAATGTAGAGCACATATTTTAGAGAATGTTCGTTAATGTATTTCATAAATACGGAGCATCACCCATGATTTCTCCACCTAAACTACTCTGAATAACTTTTTTTACAGGAGTAGCTAAGTGGAATAAGTTTTCTAAAAGGTGTGAATAGGGTTGGACTCGGGCCGGGCCAACCGGCCCGGAACCGGACCGGCCCGCTACTGTGCAGGCCTGGACCGGCACGGTGAATCGGTTGGTTGGCCAGGTTCGGGCCACCCGGCCCGGTGGGATGGCGGTTCGGGCTCGGGCCCTTCAAAAGGTGAACCGGCCTGGCCGGTTCGGGTCCGAGCGGGCCAATTTTTTTTTTTTGGATTTTTTTTTTAAGTTTTTGGGTTGGGCTGAGTATTTTGGGCCATTTGAGGTGGTTAGAGTTGGTTTTGGGGTGAGGGGGAGGGTTGGGGGTTAACTAGGAAAAGCCAAAAAAAAAATTGAACCGAGGCCCGGCCCGGACCTGGAGTTACCCGGGCCGGTTCCGGGCCTCCCCTTCTTGAATCGAGGCCCAGCCGGGCCAGTCTCGAACTGGGCCCAAATCGGAACCGGTCCATGCCTAGGTGTGAAGTGTCAAGTTTTAAATCATTTTTACTTTATTCTTACTTTATCAATTCAATATCAATTATATACTCTTTTTTTAAAAGTGGCCCACTCCATTTACCCCAAAATTAATTTCATGAATTGTCTTCACGGGTGTTTCGGTAGGAAAAAGTAAGAGTTTAGCATTCGAAAGTAAAGATGTAGAAGAACATTAAAGTAGGGGTGAATGAGTACTTTCAAAGTACTCAAAATTAGCTCTCCAATTGACTGCATTTTCCACGTCTTTCTAGTTTCTACTATGCATGACATTTTTCTACCTTACGCTTGGGACACAGTCCCCCGTCGTTCCTTTTTAGTTGCAACAGTTCACTTTTCATGTTTGCTAATGCAAAAATTGATCATCAATATCATGCATTTCTTATTATTAAAAAAATTAAAAAATTCAGATTTAAAACTTAAATTGAGATGAATTCAAAACTTTTTTTCAATTTTTTTTTTTTTGGAAAAAGACGTTTTAAATTTATATCACAACATTCAAATAGGGAACAAGAAGATAAAAGGATCACTTCCAACCGCCAACCCTCGAATCAGATTTTGAGTCAATCACCCTGTAATAAGCAATATGACTCGCTGATCATGTGATAGGTCTAAATGAGCCTAACGTGATTAAAATAAATTCCTCATTACCCAATCCTAATGCAAGAGTTTGACAAGAATAAAAAAAAAACGACAACAACGAGAAAAGTCTGACCAAATCAAGTAACAGAAAAGAAACATAATAGTGGAAATTCAACTGTACCCTCAGAATCCCAACGATCTTTCCCTATCCTTCCCTGACCCGGAGTGTCTTCAGAGCTCTCGACGGGTCTGATGACCGAGACCCTCCCCTCCCCATTTTTTGGACCATCAAGTGCCATGTCGTCCCCTCCAATGTCCCCATGTTGCTTCTCCTCCCACACCCTCATGCACTTCTGCTCTCCCGGTGTCTCCTCTGTAGCTGCTGCTTCATCCTTCTCAAAAGTTAGACCTATCCTTGCCGACGTCCGCCACAGTGAGGATCCAGTTCTGCCTTCCTACCCTATGTTGGTATATATGTCCTAGCGACAATCACCTTTTAGAGATATATGTACTTGATCACATTCAGTTTTATATATTTGATATATACGGTATTACACATTGATGATTAAGTATTTCGATTGTCAATATCTTATTCATAATTGTGTTCCCTTGGACTTATGTTGTCAATAAGTAAGTGGGAGCTTATATGATATAACATAAAGTCCTAAATAGCCCCAATCAATGATCATCAAGAAAGGGATATTGATGATATGCGATAAGATTGGTATGTGGACTGCATCATACTTTTAGAAAGTATAGTTGATCTCACAACTATGAGTTCCTGTAATTCATGATGGTCACATAAATATTTTAGAGAATATTGGCATACCCACCGAGAAACCATTTGATAAGTTCTATTCATGTGTCTATGGAATTATCGGCGTATAGAGTAGTGTAATAGTCCTCCGACTTGAGGTCAATACGTACTACATGTGCGGAGTGATGTACTTTGACCATGACCAATGCTTGCACTCCAGTCGGGGTAGATACGGCATGCGTTGGGTGCATCACGAAGCACATGGAGTAGTGGTTGAGCCAAGAAAGGATTCATTCCTCGTAATAGATTAAGAGAGAACATTCTACTTCTCATATCTAGATGGATCATAAAGTCATTGGCCAATGCAAAGATATATTCGTTTTGGATATCGAATATGATCATTATGGATCATCTAGAAAGATTGAGAGATAGAGACTAAGTTATTGGAATAGACACAATATCAAGTTCTAGACTTAGTTGAATGTTCGCTGAATGAAAGGACCGTATCACTAAGAGCTCTATATTACAGGGAGTTTGAATAGTCCTCGCAAACGTCCTTATATATTAAGATTGTCTGGTAAATCGTCTAGGGATTCTACTAAGACCTTAATTCGATTAGTGCTTAATATATAAGGCCCTATGGGTCACACAACAAGTGATTATACCTTCCGATTGAATTGTTAGAAGGAATTAAATATTATTAATTGGATTAAATAATATTTAATTAGTAATACTGAAAATGGATTAAATATTAATTAAATTAAACATATTTAATTCATGAAGTTGAAGGAGAGTTCTATTTGATAGAATTAATTAAGTGGAATAAATTGGATTTATTGTACTTAATTAAGATGTATTTTTAATTAAATAAAGTTGGTACTTTTCTTTATAATTTAGGATTAAAAGAAAAGAGAAAATAAAAATAAATAATGATCATGAGTAAAAGTGGCGTCCAAGCCCACTTTACTCTTATTGTTGGTTATTTTTGTTTTGTTTAATTAATTGAATCATTAATAAGGAGTATTGGTCCTGTTAGGATTAGAACTCATTAATGAAGAACACTTTCATTGTGATTGGGAAACTAGTTTAGAACTAGTATAAATACACCATCCTCCTTCATAATTAAAAGACCAGTTTTCAGATTCAGTATTACCAGTCTATTTCCCTGCGAAGAGATTTCCTAGCCTTTCTCTTAGGGAGATCTAACCGTTCTTTCAGAAAGGAGAAATCACGTGGATACCAAAGGTCAAGGATTATCATCGCTAGGCTGGAAGATCTGTAAGTTCTAACTCAGATCTGTTATTATTATCATATTCGTTATTTTGTCATAATCAGGGAAGATCTGTTTGGGAAAATTTTAAACTTCCGCTGCCGTACTTTCGAGGTACGTTACATCAATTTCCTAACAGTGGTATCAGAGCCAAACTGATTCTAATGACATTATACGAATTTTTATTGATATTTTCGTGGGTATTGTGTATACGATTTTCAGAATATGCAATGGCCCTAGTTTTAATTTTAGAAATTTCGTAATTGTTGTTTTCGAAACAAACTTGAAAATCTGATTTTGATCGAGATTAATGTTGTCAAGTTTCTCAACTACGTAGCCTGGCCGCAGTTAATTACCGAGTGGAAGAATTTTTTGTTTTTTGTTTTGGAATTTCTTCCATATTAAATTAGATGGTTTTATTTTAAGAATAAAATCAATGTTAAAATTGAAATTAATGAAAATAGTCGTAAAAGGCAGGTCATAGTTCTCCCTTTACTGTGTTGCAAAGTTTTTTTGAGAAATTAATATGTGGAAGAACTAAGATTGGATACGTTTCAATCTGCCCTGGTTTTATTTCTCGTTCTTTGTTAATTGAATTGAACGATTGACGATGGCGGATGATTTCAACGGCGATAACTGCCTTCGGAGGAGCTGCTTCCGGCGAGTTCCACGACGAATTTGATTTTCCATTGCATCTGTGAACGCCTCTTCCATCAAAGAAGAGAGAGAGAACAACTCAGATTCGCAAGTAGCTGAATTTCATCCGACGGATTAGGAGGATCTTGTGCGGTCGCGTGGCTGCATCCGTGAATCCTGCTATACGTTTCCCCTATTTTGAGGACATGTTCTGGGTCCGTTTTTGAGAAATAGACCAAGTGAATAATTATAATTACGTATTAAAATTAATCTTGTTTTAACTATTGTTAATTATCTTTGTGATTTAGATGGATTACTTTTAATCGTTAATTGTATTATTATTGGCATGCTTTTACTTTAATGTTTGACTATTACAAGTTTGAATTAGATTCGGATTGCATGCTTTAAATTATC